TGCAATTGCAGTCATATGGATGGCATTATAATTTAGGGTGACAGTACTTTGAGACTGTTTACAACAATGAAAATCACATTAATAAGACTAATAAAGAGAACTTTGAATCTTTTTACATAAATCAAAAGAACAATGGCTAACAGCAGAGGAATGGGTTACAAATGCAGGCGGAAATGAACTTTCAGCTTCCCTAGTTTGACCAACAGAATCTGCAACCTGAGCCCAAAGGGTGCAAATTTTTCACAATTAAGAAACCTGGAGAAGGAGAGTAGGGGGTGGGAGGGAACAGCTAGCTAGGCTGATGGGGATTCCATTTTCAAGCCAGCCCTTCAAAAGATCATATCCTTGCTACCGTCACATTAAGGCTCAGTCACATGTCTCTAGTTTAGTTTTCAACAGCAATCAATTTTTTAAAACCCTCTGAAAATTAAAAGGGAAAAGGTTTTATAGGGGCATTTCCAGATTTGGTTTTTTACATTGATGTTATGCTGAGCACTACATGTAGGAGCCCTGATTCAGCAGCAGTACTGAGGTATCCTATTTCCATGAAATGGAGGAGGGGAAGTCTCGCTGGCAAGGGGATGGCCGTGCTGCTCTTTGCAATAGCAGAAGGGTGGGGGATGCATGGACAGCTCTGGCTGGATGAGAACTTCAGTGCTGACTTTGCACAAATGGCAAATGACTTAGCCAGCAAAGAAGTTAATTTTTTTTTAAAGAGCAAGAGTCCTGTAAAGGCTGGTACTAAAGACAGAGCAAGCTTGCTGATTTGCTGGCACACTTTCATAAAGCTACATAAAATAAAGGGGAGAGGAACCAACTCAAAACAGATGTATCTATCAGAAAAAGCACTATCATCATTAATAGACAAACATCAAACTGATGCAGTAGTTTCATTCATTTTCTGAATAAATTGCCTTTTTTTTAACTTATGCCTATCTGTGGTGCAGTGGTTAAAAGGATGGGACTGGGACTGGGACTCAGGACATCTGGGTTCGAGTCCCTGTTCAGCCATGGATCCAACTGGGTGACTTTGGACCAACCCTCAGACTCTCAGTTCAACCTACCTCACATACCTACTTCAGAGAATAATACTGAGAGGAGAAGGAGAATTATGTAGGCCAACTGGAGGTCCTTGAAAGGAAAAATGGTGGGGTATAAATATAATTAATATCTTATGAAATTAATGCTGAGCGGGCTCCTTCAGACGTACACCAAAATATGCTTTAGCCTCATTGCCCCCTAGGTCCCTTGCATTCTCTTTTTATCACAGCACAATCCCCACCATAGTTTGCCTCTCTGTCTTGCTGGGTAAGCTACTGTTTCTCATCGCGCTGAAATATAGAACTGGAGACTACAATATACTCCCAATTTCGAACCCTGGCTTGCAGGACAGGCAAAAACTTTCTGCAGCTTTGGGTCTAGCCAGAAAAGGAAGGTAAATTGCAGCATGTGAAGAATCCATATGTCCTGAAGTCATTCATGCATTACTCGAGTATGTATTAGCACATCTGATATAGTTATATACGTACAAGTGTTAGAAGTAACAGTTAGTAAGAATGCAGCACAGCATTTCAAGAAGTTCTGCAATAAATACATAATAAATCAATACTTGCCGTATTTGCCAAAATATTGTAGGAGTGAAAACATGGTAGTTTGTAATGTTTAGAATTATTTATGTCTTTACATAGTTCAAGAAATCCCCATTAGGTAAACTGTATAGAATAAATTTAGGGATGCTGTAGTAATACAGAAAAAATACCAGACAGTCTTAAGGAGCCCAGTTCTAGGCAAAGTTTACCATGTTCATCAGTGTTACTTCTTGGTAAGGCTGCAGTCCTAAGCATTCTTATAACAGATGCACGTAACCCTCTGTCCAGATTGTTCAATTTTCTCACCCACAATATCATCATCTTGCCTAGTGTCAGCTCATTGCATTCCCAAACCCTATCTCTTCTTGTTGTTGGGATCAGCTACGGAACCCCTCTGTAAAAGGAACAAAAACAATTTCCTTCTGTGTTTCAAATGCCCCAGGGAACAGCTAAGTAAAGTAGGTAACATACAAGGAAATTGCTATAGGAATGGTTAGGGTTTGTATAGGCTAATCTGCTCATGGTTGCAAAGGACCAGGGGAGAAATAATGGTAATAGAAAGGGAAGGCCTGGACTGATCTAGATTGAACCATAATGTCTGGTTTACTGGTGTGACACATAATGTTCACCCTAAACCATTCTCCCCTGCTGTTTCCACTATTACATCCTAGATTTCTTCAGACTATGTCTCATGTTTTACAAGTTGAGTTTTTCCTCCTGGTATATATTTCAGTCTGTGCTAAACTTGCAATACTGTTCTGCGGGGAGGGGAAGGGGAGGCGTGGCTGCAATGGGCTGCCAGATGAAATGTCATGCAGACTCCACAGGACAGTGAGAACTCGGAAAAGGAGAGAACCCGGATCAGCCCTCAGTTGCTTCCCCACCTCCCTTGCACCTCCCATGGCTTCTCTCTCTATCCCCAACACAGAACTGCAGAGTTAACACAATGCTGCTTTCTTCCATCCTGTCCTTTGAAAAAAATAATGTCTGGAAAGTCTTCAAAGGTCTTCTTTGTCCTTTCGCCTTAAGATATAACTAGCTGAAAATGCTTCTCATCTACATGTCTACTCAGAAGTAAATCACATTATCTTCAAGGGCATTATTCAGAAATAAATCACAGGAGAAGGGAATGGGAGCACTGATCCTACTGGCTTTACCCCATGAGACCTGGACAAAAGCAGCAGTATTTCCCCTGCCCCCTTTCCTCCTTACTCCCTTCTCCATGATTTTTGTGCAGGGGCAAGAGGAGCTGCCAATTCCACTTTTCAAAAAGTTTTCACTCATTTGTACCAGCATATAACTGTAATGAAAGGGGGAAAAACAACTTTTTAAAAGCGTTCCCACTCCTTCTACTTTTCCTGCCATTTCATGTGTGACTCAAGTTCTGTAGAAACCGCTAGAATGTACCCCGAGAGTAGTAAATGCAGTTTGCATAAATATTATTGCAGTAGTCCCTCAAAAACTGTACCATAGATCTCATCTCCTTGAGAATGATTCTGAAGCACTCAGAGTGGGTGCTTTCGGGTGAAATTGGTAAATGCACCAAAAGAGGTGGCCAGTGTCTCTCCCTTTTAACGGTGTCCTCTATCAACTCTTACCCAAACCTCCTGCTCCTCCAGAAAGGGAAGATATTAACTACCCTTCCCCTTTTTGCTGCTCCTTTTTGAAGCAGTTATTGCAAGGTTGGATGCACCGAAATCTCCCTGACAGTAAATGGCAGTTTGCACCCTTGCAATAACAAAGCGTGTAATGCAGGTGCAAAATTTTTCCTCCCATTAACTTCTTAGACCTTACAGCACACAGAAAATAGGGCACCCACACTGCCAGTTCATACACCTGCCCCATTCATTCCATCCTATTCAGGCACCTTCTCTCCTTTTCTTTTCCTTGAAAAAACCTGCCAGGGAGATTAGTGCACATCTGCTGAAGCACAGTAAGTGCAGCAGTAATTGCTCTGAAAAAGAGCAGCAGGAAGAGAGAAGAGTCAATATCTCTACTTTCTGAAGTACCTGAAGACACTGGGACACCAGTGTGTAGTGGCTCTTTGCTGGAATCCAGAGGTGATAAGTACATTTATCAAAGGTTAAAGGTTAAAAAGCCTATTAGTAGACTACAGATTATAAAGGCAAGCTTGATACAGAGGGCAATGTTTACACACCTTCTGCTATTGTGAACCCCTCAGAGAAATGATACTGGATGGACTTGTGCCAGCATATAGCATCTTCTGCAGCTAGGTCTGTATAAAAAGTTTTGCTCTTAGGAAGATCTTCTAACCTTATATGGGTAATTTGGTGCTTCCTACAATCACACAGGGTTTCATCAAAGTAAACAAGATGAATATTCTTTGCACATAACTGGGAAAGAATCCTAAAAGACAACTGTATGTACATCTTGGTCATTCCCATACCAGGCAGTTGGCTGAGGCACCACCCAGGGCTCCCTAAATTCCAAGCCCTATCTAGTTCAAACTCATCCAAACAAGGAAAAACAACTGCCTAAGCAGCTGAAATATGGTGAACACATAACCGACTGACCTTCCCAGGTCTCAGCAGCGTTTAGATCACACCCAAGGCTATTCAGAAACAAAATTAGCAAGTTTCTCATTGCAAAAGGTAAACATCATGACGTTATTGGTACTAGATACCAGACAGCAAGAGACAGGAGCAGACAGAAGAACCTGTACTGAAACAAAGAACCAGAATGGCTGTTCACAGAAGGCCCAGCCATGAAGCAAGAACTGTCATACTCCATTGTCTCATTACAATGGCTTTCCAGTTTTTTCCACTACATAGTGTAAGCAACCTTATGATGGGTCACTGCCTATGATTAGGCCAGAAGTATTCTCGCCCAGGCAAAGATAATGACTTGGATTCTGTCTTCTTTTTTTCATGATCATGAAAGATGCATTGTCCATCTTCCATTCTCACTTGAACCTTCCAAAAACTGGTGTTTGTTTTATTCTACTCATTTTTTGCAAGTCACCCCGAGATGCTTGTAGTGGACAGGTCAGAAAAGTTTTTAATAAATACCTACTCCTTAGGACAGATGGAAGAGTTGGCAAAAACTCGTTTATGTTAATGGAGAAGCAACTTAGACCCACACCTACATCTAAAATACTATAATACAGATTATTCCAGGATCCAGTATTCAGATTTATTTATTTAATTAGAAGCTTTTCTAACGTGTCTGCTACAGATGTCTTGGGACGGTGTACAAAATGAGTACAATGAAACAAACACCATAGCATTTGACAATTAATACACTAAAACCCCAGTTAAAATCAATTAAACATTAAAATAGCGGGAAAATAAAAAAGGTTTTGTGTGACGCCAAAAAGAATATAACGTATAATGAATATATACTTACCGGAATGCATGTGGAAAGTACCTGGAATGTTTTGTTTTGTTTCAGATTTAAAATTGGGGAAAATATTTCCTCAGGAAAGTATTATCATCAATACATTACAAGCCTTTGGACTGGATCCCCAGATATATTTACAGAAGAAATTATGATAGCACTAATGATCCACTTGGAAGATATGTGTGACCTCATGCAAAACCTGGTACAGAAGACTGCATAAGGCCTTGCATAAGACATTTTTACTCTCTTTTATCACACAAGGATCTTATGTGAAGTCTGAAAAGGCCCTCCTGCATATGGAAGAGGCTTTCCACTTGAGGAAGGGGATCTCCAGATCCAACCTCTTGTTATGTTGGAATCTATTCAGAAAATATCAATCATGGATGGGAGACAAAAGACAAGACTATCTTTTCTCCTTTCCTAATGAAGCTTATGTTCAGAAGCTGAAGAACAGGCCTGAAGTCTTTTGATTTTTGCCCCCAACAGAAATGGGCAGGCATGGGAATGAAAACTGACTTCCTATCTTGCTCCACCAGAGGTTACTTTCCCAATCAATCTTCCCAGCCAGTATCACTATCTTAATGACTGATTGGTGAGGAAGCCTCCTGCTTTCTCTGTTTCCCAGCCATCTTTGAAACTATACTGGATAACAGAATAGTATAATCAGGATCGCATGCTGTGATCTTCCGTTTTTGGCCTATGCCAAGTTGCTGTGTGAATCCACCAAGGGAGCACTCACTCTAAAGCTTCAGGAATGCCCCATTTATGAAATATGGAGAGAACTTGACCTATTTATTATGCAGAAAAGGCAGACTTCTCAAAATTATTTATTTATTTATTTATTAAAACATTTTTATGCCGCCCCATTCGCCGAAGCCTCGGGGTGGCTTACAACAAATAAGTTAAATCATCATAACATTACTTACATACTCCTCATGGATCAAAGTGAGAAGGGAAGTGATACTTCAGTTCTAGACTGATATTGAAAGGGATATGATCCTGAAGCCCTCCCTCTCCCCCAGTGGAAGAAGGGTCATTCAACAGATCCAAGCCTGCCTACATTCCACCCCATCTCCAAAATGCGCATCTGGGGGATTTGGGAGAACATTGGTGGCAGTAAATGTACATGGGTGGAGCTTTGCACAGGTGTAATTGAGGTCTTTGGTGTGGATAGTTTCTCTGCTAGTGAAGAATGGGACACTTATTCCATCCTAAGGCCTTTCAAGCTCTTAGAGGTGGTTAGGATTGCTCTGTAAATATGTAATTTAGTATCTGCTTATATGCAGGGTTTTAAATAACAGACGAGACAATGCAGGACTAAATAAATGTTAGGACTTCATTATGGGCTTGATGAGTAGCTTATGGAAATCTACACAGACTTTCCTCTATAAACCTTTATGCACTTGTGTAGTCACACTTAAGTATTCAGTTAGTATGCTTGATAAATTGCTGTACAATAAATGCTTTATGAGGGCAGTGTCTCAAGCGATAGGTTAATGATGAAATTACACAGCAAAATAATAAAAGACCTTTCAGTTAAGAACTTGAACAATTAGATCATGAAGACCAAACAGGGTAATGACAGGAGTGTGAAGCCAATGCAATTCAGGAAGCATGGTTTGATTTTATCAGTTTTCAAAAATAATATTCCTGAGCCTATTTACAAACACTTTATTTTTGTATATTAAAAATGGAAATAAAATACATCAGAACAGTCTAATTGTATATCGGGGAATAATTAATAGGATCACAATTCTCTTATTACAGTGATGTAAGATACTTTAAAAGAAACTCTTTACCCTTCCTATCTGAAACATTAATGATAATCAGAAATATTCTTGTTACAGTATCAACTACTGTCAAATTAAAGGCTAAGCCATTCCTGGAAGCTGACATGGCTTTTGTTTCATTCTTTAGTTAACTAATCTTTCTCTGATTCTTCAGCTGCACCACATCTACAGTTATACCAATTGGTCTGCAAGTATTTCATGTATTGTATGCTGTACAAATGTCAACCCAAATTTGACACTGTTACACAATATAATATGTTAAAAATTAGAAAGCCATACTAAAAAATAGAAATTAAAATATTATTTAAAATATTCATGGCAAACCAAAAGTAACTTTAAAAAGAGAAGAAGACTAAGTGATTCATTTGAACATGATGTACTGTAAAATGAGAAAATTTAAAATACTACATTAATTGAAATTAAAATTTAATTTTACAGCATACAAACTATTATGCAGAGCCTAAATGCAACAACTTTATAACACCATAAGCACAGTACAGAGTTTTGTGGCCACTGCTACTCAACTGCATAAAGTAAAACCTTGCCTTGTGGATTGTCCACCACTAGGGACTGGTTCTTACAGCCCATGCAGCAGCCTGCTGTAACCTTACCATGCTGGGTTCACTTTCTGTGGATTATAAAGTTGGATTGGGGTCATTAGAAGGCAATGCCACTGTCTTCAGTGCAAGATGCCAGTAATAGGTAAAGTCTGGACTTGCATTCTCCTGTATTATGTTTTGCTCAATGAGCTCAATTAAAAATGGTTTCCCAATGTGATCAAGAGGCAAAACATTAAGCTGAAATCCAAACACTGAAAATATATGATTCCAGAAGGGGTTATCCAAAGGACCCTAGATATCCATGGATTCACTGAGGAATAGGATACTTTGAATTCTGAGGTCCAGGTTGCTGTTCCAGCGGTGGAGTTGGATATATTTTCAGTGTTTTGATTTCAAACACTGTCAAATTAAAAGTCATTCTATACAAGTGTTTCATGGGGAACCAAAACTGAATTGAATATAGAAGAACCAAGTAACTATCCCAAAAAAGAAAATGGAAAACTTTCAAAGTTACATTTTCTCTTCCCCTTTTATTAAGAATAACTTAATCTTATGAACAAGCCAGTACATTTCAATGAAACTGTGCTTTTTGTAAAGGTATTAGCTCAATTTGCCAATGAAGTTATGAATTCCTAACTATACAACTATAAAATGATGTCAATTATATAGAAGGGAAAATATTGAACTGTTATGAAGACATGACTACAGTTATAAAGATTTAGTTCATGTACAACATAATAGTAAAACTAGCCAAAGAATCATCTCTCTGTTATGAGGAATAGCCAATATTCGATGTACAATTTAACTTCACTTGGTTCCGAGTGAATTAGCTTTCTTTGTTTAAACATGAATTATATATTTAAGTAATCAGGATACTGGGTTATGCAGTAGGGATCCCTATTCCAGGAGGGATGCTGGAATATTTCTCAGTATTATGCTGGTTAATCAAAGCAATTTTGTAAATGTTTGTCTTTTCTTTGCCGACTGACAATTTTTTAAAGCAAGGTTAAGCAATATAGGCTGGTACTAAATCAGACAAAGAAGTGTCCTAACAGATTTTGGAATGATCTTCATTAAATATATTCAAAAAGCGGAATTACCTAGCAGCACAGACATTACGTTGGCCTTCTAAAAACCTCACCAGATACTCAGTGGAGAACTTGGAAATGGAAAATGAAAGGAGAAGGTTTCTGTATTTGTCTTTGTTTTCCATATCCAATTTTGAAAGTTGGTATTTCCCCCACAAAATGCCACTTAAACTACTGTAAATTATATTTTTACAGAGTAACCCTAAGCACCTCCAAGAGACTTTTGAAAGGCCTTAAAATGAAATAAAGATCCCATTCTTCACTAGCAGATAAACTATCAACACCAAAGATCTCGATTACACTTCTGCAAAGCTTCACCCATGTGCATTTACTGTCACTAATGTTCCCACTAGCAGTAGCCAGTGAAAATCCCCTAAATGGGACATTTTGAAGATGGGGCGGGATGGAGGCAGGCTTGGATCCACAGAATCCAATGGCTCTTCGTCAACTGGGGAGACTTCAAGATCAACAAATTAATTTTAAAAAGAAAACTAAAATAATTTCCTTTCTAATGGCAAAAATTTGACAGCACCTAAGTCTACATGTTTCCAACAGCTTTGTTACTTGACTACCAGCAAGGCTGTTTGTGGGGCACCCCAACATTTCAACTTCTTTTGACATACAACACAGATTCAGGTGTACAGTGAAACCACCTCTATGGCTATAAAGTATTTATTGAGGTTTTATTCCAAAAATGTTGCAGAAATTAAATGAAAGTTTAACATCAAAAGCAAAAGTGGCTGTATGTCCTTAAAAACATATCTTATTTTGCTAAATGGTCTGCCTTGAGCACTGCTTTTTCCCTTCAAAATATATCCCTCTGAATGCCTGGGAAACTCTTGTTAAGCATCAAGGAAGCACTAGAGCTAGAATAGCTAGAGTAGCACATCTCATGGCAGACTGCCAGTCCATTCCCACGAGGCATCAGTAAGCTTTTAAACTTCAGCAACTTTAACATATGCTATGGAGCTGGAATCACTGTGCCTGATAGCCCCAGACTTGCCACCTAATGAATTCTCCTTTAAGGACTTAATGAGTATTTATTTCAGTATAGAGGCCTTGAAGGAATTTTGTATTATTTCATGTGAGCTGACAATTGACACACCTGTAACCCTCTTTTGATATCACAGCCACCTCTCAGGTTCTTCTTGAGAATTAAACACTGAAGTAGCATTACTGGAGGTCACCTCTGTAGGCACGCAGGTATATGTAGCAAGGAACCAGTGTTAATGAGACAACCAAAGGAGATTGGTTATTTATTTAGCAAAATACCACCTATTGAGTGCTATAGTAACCAACAGTAACCAACATGCTGTTACATGAAAATAACCAGCAGCCATCCCACAACTAAAGATGGGTTAAGTGTGGCTGGATGGAGAAATGTGGGATACAGAATACAAAGTGTAAGGGGATGGAATAAACCTGACAATTGTTTATTCTATTTATTTAAAGTTTTTATATGCTGTTCCCTTGCTACATAGCCTCGGGACAACTTACAATTATCTGGGAGATGCCAGTGTACTATGCTTTATTTTATTCTGTGTCTTTACTCACAAGGTCCAAGGGTAGCTAACAAGTCATAAAAACAGTACAACACAAATGCAATCACAATCACAACGTAAAACTACAAATACATAATGCAATAAAGCCCTCATTACAATGCCAGGAAATAGAAAACAGTTGCCCATATAGACCAAAGACTATATCCATTAATACATTTTTAACTGGTGCCTGAATGACAACATTGTAGGGTACTACTGGGTTTCTGCAGGGATGGAATTTCATTGTCTTGCTACCACTGAATAGTCATCCTGATTGGTTATTGTACTGCACTGCCTTTGGTGCAAGCATGTAATTTTTCATAGCCCTTTCGCCAAGTCATACACACCAGTGTAAACCCTGGAACCTTTCATATACAAGTGTGCCCCAAAAATTCAACCTAAGGCCATTCAGGACTGTATCGCTGAGATCACTGGATATGCTACTGTGGCAAGGTGAATACCAAGGGCCAACCACAGATGACTACCAAGGCTAGCTGTGATGTTGCTCTGTCGAGCAGGAGGGCCTAGCTTTAATGGAGCAATCCATTGCTTGATACTCCGGTGGCCAAGAATGTGGAACTCAGGCTGAGGAGATCTGGGCTCCAGTCCCCACATGGCCAAGTTGCTTATGGGGTGACTTTGGGCCAGTCACAGACTCTCAGACCAACCTACCTCACAGGGTTGTTGTTGTGTGGATAAGATTGGGAAGAAGAGAATTAAATAAGCTGCCTTGAGTTCCTTGAAAGGAAAATAGTGGGATACAAATATAATAAATAAACTAACAATACAGACCTGTATTTCCCATATTTTGATGAAATGGAAAACTGCAGTTGAGTTTCCAAGCCTTATGAGAAGATAAGAAAAAAGAGATGACAG